GATCCAAGCTGCCTCCAAGGCCCGCATGCTTGGACTAAACGTGCCAGTGTCGGCGACCTCAAACCGAGCACGGGCCGCCGCAACCCTGCGCCAGGCCGCGACCGCAGTCTCCTCCTCCATGGCGAGATCGTCAAGCCTCATCCGCAGCTCGTCAAGCTCGGCATCGCTTGAGGATGGGCTCGGCTCGCCCACGGCATCTGCCTCCGCGGCATCGGGCCCTGCCGAGGTATCGGCCGCCGACGCCGCTGCCTGCGCGACCTCGGTCGCCGCCGAAGCATCTGAGGCATGCCATGCAGCGGAATCCCGCGAAGCGGGGTTCGCTTTCGGTCGCAGCTGCAGGATCGCGGGCGACGGCGCTCTGGCTTTCGGACGCGGATGAATCTGGATTGGAGGATGGGCGGGCGGTCGTTGAAATGGCGGCGGGCGGTTGCCCCCATGCCGCGGCGAGTAATTAGGCGGCGGTTCAAACGGATGCTGCGGCGGCATGATAGCAGTCGCAGTCGCGCGCGTGACGGTGTCTCGGGCGAGACGGCTGTGTGTCATGATAGCAGTCGCGCAGTCCCGATGTGTCTCGGGCGAGACGGCTGTGCGCGGTCGCACCATGCCCCCCCGTGCCCTCGCCCATCGCACCACCGCTTGCCGCCCCCGCCCGCGTTCTGCCCTCTGCCCCATGGTTCCTCACCACCCCCTATGGTTCTCCCTGCAAGTGCAACGCATGCAGCGCAGCAAACTCCACCATACATAAGGCCCCACAGAAGAGTAGGGATGAGGACGGTGAGAAGGGATACTAACATGGGGGGCTGCGGATTGAGGGTGGGGGGGAGGTGAGGGGCAGGTGCGTCATGCCCGCGATTCAGGGGTTTTAGCTAGAGGGCCCTGGATTGGCGTGGGCACAATGTACGTTACCACGTACTCGTGCGGCAAATTTGGCATGGCACGCGGCATCTGTGGGCGTGCGTGATCCCAATCAGGCAATTCTGAAATGCGCGCGCGCAGTCACGACTGGAACCAAACAGAATCGCACGACCCTCGCATGCCCTCAAGATTAGCCAGGTCATGAAACCCTGCGACCTTGCACGCGTAAGCTAGATTCTGCTGCGCAGCACCAACTATTACATGTATGCGTGGCGCGCGGTGCAAGGCGCCGACTATCACACTATGGGGGAAGCTATGAAGTAGAACGTGCGCGGTTGTATCAGCTCGGGCGCAGTGCAGCTATCATGGTCGGCGCCGCGCGCGCGTGAAGCTGGCGCCGTGCGCCGAAGCAACGCAGTGCAACTCAGTGCAACTCACGTGTTGGCTGGTGAGTGTACTTGTTGGTGCTATTATGGTTGTATCATGCAATCATGCTATCGGCAATCGCATGCAATTCAACTCAATGCAAATCATGGTGTGTTGTTGGTGTGTGTGTGCTGTTGGTTTTGGTGTTTGATGTTGACAGCGCAATGCAACTCAATGCACAAGCGCGCAAATGATTTGATTGACGGTTTTTTCTCAAGCAGTAGCCGCGCTGCTCGCGCGGCAGAGCGTGAAAATGCGCCAGGCGTGCACGCCACCCGCATCCGTGAACTGGCCCCCAGAACTTGTAGAAGCTCCACTCGAGGTAGGCTAACATCTCGTCGTCGGCCGCGTCGTACAGCTCATGGATCTCGCCGCCCGCGGCCACGTGCCTGGCCATGATCCGCGCGAGCCTGGCGTGGCGGTCCCTGCCGAAGCACCCGTAGTCCTTCACGACCTATAAAGGTCGCGGTGCGACGCGCCCCCGCCACCGCCAAGGTGCATGCCACAACCCGTAGTTCCCCTCGCCGCCATCCTTACCCCCGAATCCCCCCCCCTCCCCCCACTCACCACAGCCGTCATCGGCATCATCATCCGCGCCAACGTCCCATATCGTCACCCCCTCCCCCACCCTGCCCACAACGTCGTAGTCATCCTCGTCATCGTCAGTATCGTCGTTCCCGCCCTATCTCACCTCATACGGGTCATGGACACACCTCGGCGGTGATGATGGCACGCGCCAGTGACCCGCCTCACCTGGTCCAGCGCGCCCACGTCCAGGCCGTCCTCCATAGACGTCATCGCATCCAGCTCGTCGGCGACGGCGACGGCGGCGGAGCCGTTCAGCGTGGAGTCGTAAAAGTCCAAGTCGCGGAAGGCAACGATGTTGAGCTCCTCCAGCTTGTGCTCGATCTTCTTGGCCTCGACGTCGATATCCACGGCGATAGTGTTCTTCGCGACCGTGCACGTCGCGCCCGTGGTCCCGCCCTTGTCCGTCAGGTGCGTGCTGCTGCCGCCCGAGCCTGTTGAACCCGTGCCCCTCGATCTGGCAGCCGAGCATGTCTTCTTGTTGTCCTTGGTGCTCTTGCCGTTAGCCTCGTCTGTGGGCGTACTGCCGCCAGTGCCCTTGGCCTTCGAGCCGTACGTGCGCCTGCCATTCCCACCGCCATTGTCCTTTGCCATCCAGTAGTCCTTGTCCCAATACTTTGCGCCATTCGCCTCGTCCGTGGGCGTCCTGTCGTCAGTGCCCCTGGCGTTCGAGCCGTACGTGCTCTTGTCCCACCAGCCGTCCTTGTCCGTGTCCTTCCAGCCGTCATTGTTCTTCCAGCCGTCCTTGTCCGTGTCCCACCAGCCGTCAGCCGCGCCATCTCGCCAGTGGCCTGTGTGCGCGCGACTGGCATGGTAGGAGCTGGCGTCGCGCTTGTCTGCGGCCTGGTAGCTGCCGCCTCTGCCCGCGCCACGGCTGCCGTGGCCCGAGCCCTTCTCGCGATCGTAGTAGTCCGCCGTAGCATGCGTCTTGCGGCCACCGCCCCGAGCCCGCTTGAAGGCTGCCTGTGCGTACCATGGCCACTTATTGGAGTCGACCGCGCCGTGCGCGTCCTCGTCGGCCGTGCCATAGTCGCCACCGTCGTCACGGCCGTGCGCGCCACTGCCGTACTCGCCGCCACTGCTGTGCACGCCACCGTCGCCACTGCTGTACTCGCCGCCACTGCCGTACTCGCCAGGCTGCCGCTCGTCCTCGCGCTCCCACTTCTCGTCCGAAATCCTCCAGCCGCGCTCGCCGCGCGGGTACTCGTCCTCGTTGTCGCTGCCCTCGGTGTACGTGCCGTAGTGGCTGTGGCGCTGCCAGCGCCAGCTGCTGTCCGCGCCGTGCTTCTGCCGCTTTGCCGTGCACACGTCGCCCTCAGCAGCAGGAGGCTGCACGACGTACGCGCCTGGCGCTGGCGCCGAGCTGGGGCCCGCCGTCGCCGTAGGCTGCACCGCCACGTACGCGCCTAGTGGCACGTGATGCTGCACCGCCACGTTAGGCTGCTGCACCGCCACGTTAGGCTGCTGCACCGCCGCGTTAGGCTGCACCACCGCCACGGGAGGCTGCAATACCACGTTAGGCTGCACCGCCACGTACGCGCCTAGTGGCACGTGATGCTGCACCGCCACGTTAGGCGGAACCACCACCAAGTATGTGGCCATCGCCGTGACCAGGCGTGCCGCCGCGCGCACAGATGCGCGGCACGGGGGGCACGCGGCGGGCGCGTAGTCGCGCCGAGACATGGCGTAACAGCCACGCTCGGCTCGAGCCAAAATGGATACGGACTGTGGGCGACCAAGACGCCCCAAGCTGTGTCGAGCTTACGAGCTGTCATCGATACTAGCATGCCCAAGACGCCCCCATGACGCCCCAAGACGCCCCAATACGTCCACGAATACGCCCCAAGACGCCCCAAGACGCCCAAGACGCCCCAAGACGCCCCAAGACGCCCAAGATGTCCAAGGCGCCCCAAGACGCCCCTAACGCACTTAAGACATCCCACGACGCCCGAGACATCCCCACCAAACGTTTGCACGCGCACGGCACTACACGGCACGTCACACTACGCACGCAGTTGTCACTGACACGGCCACCGCGGAAGCAGCGCACGGCCATTGGGGGTGGCGGCTGCGTTTTACGCCAATATGGGTAGCTCGGGGGCAATTCGGGACCATTGATGGAGCGTTTCGAGAGGTGATATATCGGATGGTTGACACATACCCCCCCCCGCGGGGCACACCTGGGGCCCCGTGACGGCGGTCAGGGCGCAGCCCACAACACTCATGATGCGATGAAGGATGTGCGATGAGGGGCAGTGCGAGAGGCGAGTTGCGAGTGCGATGGGACGCTGAAACTGATGACAGAACGATGCGCGAGAGCGCCAACCTAAATGACCAGATGGCGCGTGTTGCACAGACGTACCGAACCAGTTTGCTCCGATGCGATCTTGCAAACTTGCAAGATCGACATCAATGGGTCGATTCTGCGATGCAGATCGACATAGATGTCGATCTGCAAATCTGCAGATCGACATTTGCATTGTGTTGGTTTTAGTATTGATGCACATGTCGATCTGCAAATCTGCAGATCGACATCGATGTCGATCTGCAGATTTGCAGATCGACATCTGGATTTGATCGCCCTGCGATCCTCGAGGATCGTGGTTCGGTTCATGTCATCGGCCATGCCCCCGCCCCTCCAGGGTGGTTTCGCGAGTCCAATCGGACCGATGCTCGAGGTGTTCTGGCCGTCGGGTGGGCCTCGTCACACAGCTGGGAACGGCTCGGGAACGCTTGTGTGGCTGGACTCCTGGACGGGTCTGAGGGGCTGTTCTGGGAGATGGGGGTGGCGACGACGGCGATGGCGGCGACGACGACGACGACGCAGACGGCGCCACCGACGACGGCGACGACGACGACGGCGGCGACGGCGAGTGGGGGGGGGCGTTGCCGACGAGCGACGACGACGCCGCCGCCGCCGACGACGACGCGATGTTGAGCAGACGACGGCGCGCGACCTCACGCGATGGCATCCGCAAACAGTCGACGCGACACGCCGCGTGCAAACGAGTGCGCCCCCGCGCGACCTTACGCGGGCAGCTTACGCGCGACCGCCAATGACGACGACGATGGCGATGCCAAGGACGAGGGCGGCGTCGACGGCGGGAGGCAAGGATGAGAGAGGCACAAGGGTTTCAAGAAGCGCCCCAGCGAAGGCAGTCCCACACAACCTGTGCTGAGCCGAATTCTTCGAACTCATTCCAGTGATTCTGGAACAACCACTCGATGTACTTGTGCACGTTGCGGTCGGCCGACTGTCTCACTGCATTCAGGTCGCCACCATTGGCAACATGCTTGGCCATGAGCCTCGCGATCCTGACGTGTCGTCCACCTCGCTTCATCTTCTCCGTCCGAACGGTAGGTGGAATCCCCGACACTTCGTCTTCCAGCAGCACTGGGGCCACGTGCTCCTCGCCTGCGTGCTGCACCGCCTTCATGACGATGACGCCCGCATCGCTGAGCAACTCCTCCACCTTGCTGAGCTGCTGTTTGAGCCACGGCACCTTGGCATCGTCGTCCATGCTGTGCTGACGACGGCGCTTGTGGGATGTGCCGCCCTCGTCCCAGCCGTGGTCGTCGTACTCGGCGCCCGTGGGCCGTGTCGCCCGCGCCCCAGCCGTGAGCGCCCCGCTGCTGTACTCGCCGCTGTGCTCGCACGTGTCGTACACTGCTGTACACGCTGCGCCACTGCCGCCACTGCTGTACTCGCCGCCACTGCTGTACTCGCCGCCACTGCTGCGCACGCCACCGTCGCCACTGCTGTACTCGCCGCCACTGCCTTCGACCGCGTCGCCAACGTTCGGCTCGACCTCGCCGCCACAGTCGCCAGTCGTACTCGCAGTACTCGGCTGCGCCGCCACCCCGTCGTACTCGCAGTACTCGGCTGCGCCGCCCGTGTCGTGCTCCTCCGTCGGCTTGCTGTCCTCACGGCCATCTCCACTAGCCCACTTCGGCTTCGGTGGTGTCGCCACAAAACTGTCTTCTGTCGCCGTGGCACTGGCCGTGCCACTCTGGCCGCCTCCAGTCCGTCGACCTGGCATCGGCTTCGCCTTCGGCCACGGGGCGCAGGCGGGCGGGGCGGCGCTGTCCACGGCGTCGGCGGGGCGATGGCGCCTGCCCCACTTGGGGCCAGCCAGCAGGCGCGGTGCGGGCTCCTGCTGCTCCCTGATCCCGCTGCTGGCTGCCACGGCGTGCAGCCTGTCGTACTCCTCCTTTGTGATGGTGACCATCGGGGGCTCCTGCTGGGGCGAGGCGGGCTCTCCCGCTGCGCATGGGCTCGCCGTCGGGCGCGGGCGCGCCGTGGACGCGGCCGATGACGGCCTGGCCCTCTGCGACGGGCGGGGAGGCTCGGCCATGGCCCCGTCTTGAGCCAAAATATGGCTACAGGGTAACGTTGTTATCAATATTATAACAATATTTGCCTAAACCAATGAACCGATATTAAGCCGGGGGGTGCGACTTGGCCCGCGGGGGCGCGGTTCCGGAACTGGGCCGCCGCGTCAATTGGTGACGGCGGCGGTGCTTTTATCTTCGCGCCCTCGATCGTGGCGCTTCCTTATTCACGCATATACTTGTGAGCGCCATATATTGCCTTACATATGTTTCTATCGGTGCACACCATACCTTGACGCTGTATATATTCGCGCATCGTGCTTATCATTGTGTTAGCTTAACACATCCACATTGTTTTTATCTCCGCGCATACTGATGATTGGGAACTTGAGTGATGACACTCGCTGTTTTCTCGCGCGTGAATGTGCGAGTTATGCAGGCGGCACCACTTGTTTCGAGCCGCGTCCAGAGGCGGAGCCACGGCGACGATCCGCGGCGCGTGCACTGTTCGATGCGGACCCGCGGCGACCAGCCCTGGCGCGTGAACTATTATATATAAGTCCTTATTTGAATATACGTGTATATCTAGTGGCCGTCGGCCCATCCCGCCGCCGTGCCTGGATTCGTGGACATTGGAGGTTGTTGGAGGCTCTTGGGCCGTCGTGGAGCGGCGGCGGACCGAAAGCGCGACGATCTCAAATTCTGGGCCACTGGGGGAATGTCTGCAGTATGCCTCAAGTGGTATCGAATAAGTACGACTTGAGGCACGCCCGGTGTATGCCTCAAGTAGTTCCGATCGGGTACCACCTGAGGCGCGT